GACCTAAGCCTATCTCCGTCGCAAGGTGGCGCTGCTTGCGAGTTAAAGCTACAAATATGCAAATAACTCTAAGGATATTAAAGATATTCAAGAAATTATTTTTCGTAAACCTTTCCGGGGATACACCTAATAATATCCCAAAATTTCACGGCGATTGGATGTATGGTTTTTGAATCCATAGAGGACACACACACACACAGACAGACATTCAATTTTATATATAGATTATAAAGTGGCAGCGTACTCCTCGAACAACAACCTCTGTGCCACAGATTCAAAAGCAGAATTTCAAGAGTCTGCTCATACACAATGCAGGAACATCCCCTACAGTACTCCGATTTACTCATTTTATTTCTATGTTCCATGATCATATTTATCAGGAACAGCGTTGAACTACGGGTGTATTATTGTGTCGTTGCGGTATCAGGAAATCAGCACATGGGTTTGATAAGGATCTCTATTCACACGAGATATTAACCCTATTTATTATTACAGGGTCACACACAAACATCGTAAATAGCGAATGTTCTTGAAGGATATACATTTCAGACTGGTGTTAGTTCTCCGCGCGAGCCCTCCCCTAAGCTATTTTTGGGGTGAACACATGTGGTCGAACTGACTCTGCTTGCCACCACGTCGATGCCGAAGCTTTCTTTTGGGCATCGTCGTAACACCATATGCCTTCACCGTATCCCGAGAAATATCTGTTTTCTCTAGACTACTTCCTCTCTATTGCTCCCACAATCCCGGCAGAAATAGCAGACCAAATGTTAGGCAATATACTTTATAATCACTAGACTGTACTATAGTAGAAACATAAGATTGGGAAATGAATGAAACATTAAAGTTGCTCAAATATAGCGAGAATGATGAAATAATTTTCAATAAGATTAAAATAGAAAATAAATAAATAATATATATGTAGTATATTTTGAGCTAAATAGATCACAACCTTCTTATAATATTTATCATAACACCATATCTATATAAAAATATGTACTGACCTTATAACAATGGAAATGACAAATAAAACAAAGAAGTAAAGGTAGACCAGACGACGCCATAACCCAGACGAACAGGTGTTTATGATAATGAGTTCAATCACCCCGTCAACAGGTGGCCAGACGTGACAAATAACCCGGCGCCTGACAGGTGGCGTGATTTTACAGGAACCAATCAGGACTCTCCGCCATATGCGGGCGTCCAATATAAAAGAGCCCAGAAATGGGACAAGGTTAGTTGTTCAGTTAGTTGTTTTCAGAGCGACGCCGTCATACGGTCGGGTCTCTCACCCCTATCCGCGATGTAGGCATCCGTGACGCCCGTGGTTCGACTGCCTTCGTCCGTGGTGTACCTCCTCTACCTTCTTGGAGTTACCATCTAGACCTGCCTCTGTCTCTTGCTGTCCCAGTGCGGGAATCCCATCACGCACCCACTACCACGACTGCCCAGTACATTCCACATCGGGATTACTACATATATGATTTAGAATATTATATACATATATATATATATGTAGTACCTTAGGGCTTGCTTAGGGAATGAATGAAGGATTAGGTTTGTTCAAATCTAATTAGATTGAGAAAGAATTTTTGATAAGATTAATATCGAAATATGATTAATATATGCGATTTAAAATATTCATAAAAAAAGAACAATTTAAGAAAAATATCAAACAAAAAGTAAGTATGTCCTATGGCAAATAGGAATTGGGCTTAATAGGGTGTAAACTTGCTGACCAAAACCTGTTTCAATTATTGAGTAAATGAACGACTGCAAAGACTGTAAACCGAATGTGTTTGGTATTTAAATAGCAGATGAAAGGAGTTATGAATGGTAATAATAAGCTCCAAAGTTGTTTTTGAATAATTTCAATTTACTGAGTCGGATAGTTTATGAATAAAACTTTATTTCCTAATTCATAGCTCGATTATAGGCTGAAATTATTGCATCAAATTTTGAAAGTAACTGCCCTAGGATTCTCGAGAGTCGAATCGCCACAATGTTTACCTACCAGAACATATACCTTCAAGGTGGTGAAGAAATTCTGCCACAAGAAATATTGATCATTGAAAACAAACATCGAGAGAAAGAGATCTATAAAGTCAACTGTGTGATTTATACAAATACTAAGCCAATAGCCCAGCTATACCCAACTTTAGCCCATGAGCTTTTTACCCATTTTGAATATTTATCAGAATATTTCTAATATCAAAAACTATAATTTATAACTCAGAATAACTATAATGGTGCCGCTTATGTGTGCAAAACGTGAGGGAAAAAATTAAAAGTGATGTTAGATACTTGATCATCTGAAAGGTGTTAGCGTGAGTGTTAATAAATCTAGGTCTTCCTGTATAGATTGTTACATTATAGTGAAATCTGCGTCTGAATAGTAAATATCGAATATTGGGTAAAAAATATAGACTTTTTAAATTAGAAACAACTTGATGAAATAATGATAAGCATAAGCGAAAATCATAAGTGTGTGTCTGTTTGTGTGCGTTAAACGGTTTTCTTATTTTATATAATTTTTCTGACGACGTTTCAAGTTAATTTAGTTTACGCATGTATTAGGATATATTTCTAATTGTTTCCAGAATACATTCAGAGATCTTACTATTAGACATTATGTAAATTTTAGGATGATTTTTAAATACACTTCACAGCACGTAAGGTGACAGTGGATTATCTCCAGTGCAATTGCAGCCAGAAAACATAGTATACGTTAATTTCCGCATAATCAAAAGTGAGATGAGGTTTTTTCTCGTATCAAAGAAAATTTCAATGTGGATCTATTGTTCTGTATTTAAATATTCACAAACTTTAATTTATCTACTTTATAAATAGGCAGTAAAACTCCTGAAAAACGACCATTCATGGAAATGGCCTAATTGCTTGCATAAGAAAGGAAGTGTGCCTAAGAGTATGACAAAAAAATTAAGTAAAATAGAGCGCGTTGAAGTATAGACTATTCAATAATAATATTCAGCTAGCATATTTATATTACATGGGAAGTAAATCGTACTATAGAAGAAAATATAATATAAGGGTTGGAATTAAAAACAAAATTCTTACTTTTAAAAATAAATATTCAGTCACTTATAAAGTTACACTGTTAAATATAATTATATAAATATATATGTATATTATATATGTATATGCATTACTATATTTAAAAATATCATACTAATAAATTAATATTATAATTTGAAAATAAAAAGATAATTCAAATGCAGAGGACTAACGTTAAGAGGACACTGAGAAGAGGTCAAAGAAAAAAATGAGGTTAAGAAAAAATTAGCCCCTTGAAGGAACTTAAAATAGTTCAGGTGTTTATAGAAGAGAAGATATAAAGGAAGACCTAGTGTATTTATATGGATGAACCAATAGAAATAAATATGACCAATAGTTAGAAAATACCTCCTTTAAACAGATTCCCCCTATCACAGTCTATGTAGAGCCTACGAGGTAAAAAGGTCGGAGGCAAATGAGGCGAGCATCAGTTTTGATCAGGCAAATGGGGAGGTCGGTTCCATGCCCCGGGTCCCAGCTCATAGATTTGTCTTCATTCGACCGCGCTCATGGAAATAGATTCCGCCCATTTAAGCTGCCTGTCCTAATTGTGCCGCTGACACGGAAGACACCGACGTGGGCCCTCCGTAGACTCCTTTTACCCTACTACTGTTTCTCAATATTCCTGTCGAACTTTGTCAAACATTTATACAGGACCCCGTGTGTTACCCGGCTTAGTTGTGATGGAAAAAGTGAAAATAAATTTTCCTCGTACAATATTTATACAATATTTAACTACAGAGATCAATTGAGAATCGACAGAAATATTGTCACAGAATGGTTTTTTAGTTTATTATATTTTTTGGTATTTGTTTGTTTGTTATACATACATAGCACCCTCCCTTTAAACTTCACACCTCATCATTATAGACATATATCTGGATACTGCATTTATTTGTATTAAAGTATCGGTTATTGTGTTCCTTGTTAGTATTTCATCAATCAAAATATTGATGAACGAAACAGTTTTGATCCATATATTATCTAAAGATTTAAATATGGAGTGCTCTATTTTATATATATGGAACATTTTCCGGGAGGAAATTGATTTAGAAAAACATAAGGCGCCTCTTTCGTCAAAATAAACGTCAAAACTAGACGCCATCTATTGACAGTAACCGCAAACTATCGGCCTCGGGTCGGTGACAAATACAACACCAGTTTTGGTTAATTGAATATATTCTCAACACTTAAAGTTTAACCGCATAAGTTTCTTTTCTGTGAAAAATCAATATTTATTTCAAAGAGAAATATTTACTATTTCTAACCTTTTTGGATGAAGTATGAAAGGGTGAAAATATGAAGAGTAATGGCGAACGGAAAAATAAAAGTGTCCAGGGGCGGGAATCGAACCCACAACGTTCCGCTTACCGGGCAGATGCCATGTCCACTAGGCTACCCTGGACGTATTTTTCCGTTCGTAAATAATACTTAAAGTAACTTATAATACATTATAAAAGACTGCGGCGTATGATTATAAACAACACTTAAAGTTTCACCGCATAAGTTTCTTTTCTGTGAAAAATCAATATTTATTTCAAAGAGAAATATTTACTATTTCTAACATTTTTGGAAGAAGTATGAAAGGGTGAAAATACGAAGAGTAATGGCGAACGGAAAAATAAAAGTGTCCAGGGGCGGGAATCGAACCCACAACGTTCCGCTTACCGGGAAGATGCCATGTCCACTAGGCTACCCTGGACGTATTTTTCCGTTCGTAAATAATACTTAAAGTAACTTATAATACATTATAAAGGACTGCGGCGTATGATTATAAACAACACTTAAAGTTTCACCGCATAAGTTTCTTTTCTGTGAAATATCAATATTTATTTCGAAGAGAAATATTTACTATTTCTAACATTTTTGGATGAAGTATGAAAGGGTGAAAATATGAAGAGTAATGGCGAACGGAAAAATAAAAGTGTCCAAGCGGGAATCGAACCCACAACGTTCCGCTTACCGGGCAGATGCCATGTCCACTAGGCTACCCTGGACGTATTTTTCCGTTCGTAAATAATACTTAAAGTAACTTATAATACATTATAAAAGACTGCGGCGTATGATTATAAACAACACTTAAAGTTTCACCGCATAAGTTTCTTTTCTGTGAAAAATCAATATTTATTTCAAAGAGAAATATTTACTATTTCTAACCTTTTTGGATGAAGTATGAAAGGGTGAAATATGAAGAGTAATGGCGAACGGAAAAATAAAAGTGTCCAGGGGCGGGAATCGAACCCACAAAGTTCCGCTTACCGGGCAGATGCCATGTCCACTAGGCTACCCTGGACGTATTTTTCCGTTCGTAAATAATACTTAAAGTAACTTATAATACATTATAAAGGACTGCGGCGTATGATTATAAACAACACTTAAAGTTTCACCGCATAAGTTTCTTTTCTGTGAAAAATCAATATTTATTTCAAAGAGAAATATTTACTATTTCTAACCTTTTTGGATGAAGTATGAAAGGGTCAAAATATGAAGAGTAATGGCGAACGGAAAAATAAAAGTGTCCAGGGGCGGGAATCGAACCCACAACGTTCCGCATACCGGGCAGATGCCATGTCCACTAGGCTACCCTGGACGTATTTTCCGTTCGTAAATAATACTTAAAGTAACTCATAATACATTATAAAGGACTGCGGCGTATGATTATAAACGACACTTAAAGTTTCGCCGCATAAGTTTCTTTTCTGTGAAAAATCAATATTTATTACGAAGAGAAATATTTACTATTTCTAACCTTTTTGGATGAAGTATTAAAGGGTGAAAATATGAAGAGTAATGGCGAACGGAAAAATAAAAATGTCCAGGGGCGGGAATCGAACCCAACAACTCTTCATATTTTCACCCTTTCATACTTCATCCAAAAAGGTTAGAAATAGTAAATATTTATCTTTGAAATAAATATTGATTTTTCACAGAAAAGAAACTTATGCGGTGAAACTTTAAGTGTTGTTTATAATCATACGCCGCAGTCCTTTATAATGAATATATACTAGCCGAATGATCCGGGCAACGCCCGGTTTTCCCCGAATGTATTTCTACCTAGGTACATATTTATATATAAAATTAAATGCTGTTTTTTTTTATATATATAAAATGACATATGAGATAGAAATATTCTAAATTATTGAATTGTCACCGCGAGTGAGCAAGTTGAAAAAATTCTGAAATAATCAAATTTATATAAAACTCTTTCATATGAAAAATGGGGGATCGATAGAAGGATGGTCTAAACCGTTGGTTTTCGGCCACTACGACCCGGGTTCGATTCCCGCATTGGGCATTTTTTTCTGATTTAAGAAAAATGCTACTTATATTACTCTATTTTTAGCTCTGTTAAGGTAAAGCTTTAATGAAACTGAGATCTGATTTTGGAACGAGCTAATAAGTATTAGTATAAGAAAAGATTATTAATAATCAGGATACATAAGCATCACATTTTCTGATCCCAAAATAAGTAAAATAGTCTAAACTTGTCGAATTTACTTCATATTTAACCATCATTTTTCTATCGTAAAATATGTAAATTAGTTATTGGTTCAATCTGAATAGACCGCATATCTCTTCATCTATGCTATGTACGATATTTCACAGCTACAGAAGTAATCATTTTTATCCCATCGAAGAAATTTTTGCGAAATTATATATAACAAATACACTTATTTAAAATTCAATAATTTTTGTAAATTCTTTTTGGATTTTCTTCTCTGTTTGAGAAAACCAACCTTTCGGTTTCAATTTTATTTTTGGTCCGGTTATTGATTGAATCGTATATAAAATGAATTGTATATAGGTTGATAAAATGTATTTAAGCGCAAGTATCCCAAGCTGGGATATATATCACGTCCGATATTTCAAATAAAATAAAATAAAATATGTTCATTAACATGTTAAATTTGTAATTTTATTAGTAGGTTTAATGAAAAAGAATTAAAGTGGTCTTTCAACTTGCCTTATATATATATGACCAGGCTTCGCCTGTGTTCTGCTCGAGTAAATGTTTAGCCGAAGATATCTTGTTTCTGCCCATCAAACATGATGCAGAAATGTATTATCATCATCATCTCTTGACTAAAAATAAGGAAATTAATCCAAAACTTTATTAATTTTAATTTGGCTTGGTTGAAAAAGTGACAAAAACCTTTCCGAGACTTAGTTCTATATCCTGTTGAAATTTCAGCCAGAGTGATGGAATATGGAGGAAACGTATAAGGAACAAATAAATATTCATTAAATTGTATATATAGAGATTTGTGTTAAAAATGAGAAAAAATGATCAAGTGTTGATATTAAAAACAAAAAGAGCCTATCCTGACCGCTCACATGGGAATTTTAAATGGCAGAGCGCCATCTAGTAGAACAAAAATCAACTAAACATTGATTTTTAGGCCTGTTCCAAGAGATATAAATATCTCAGAATACACCTTATTTAATTGCAAAAAGGATCAAAAACTTTAATTTATTCATTTAAATGTAAAAATGGCATTCTACATTACTTAAGTTTATGTTTACAGATTCCCCCCTACTTTCCACGCTCCCTTTTCAAAGAATCCTCTTTGTGCCTAAGAAGATGGTCAAGAAGGAAAATACAGACACAAGAAAAACCTCAGGCCCCAATCTAAACTAATTTCCACGGATTCCATTAAAAGCTAGCGAGCAAAAACCTTCTAATTTGAAGCCGGATGACTCCTTAATGAGGCGGCGGAGTACAGGCGGGAAGCCACATTATCGGAATGTTGAAGAATCCTCCAAGAAAAATAAAGTCCTTACATCTGGGAGTTAAATGAGGCACATTATCCCACACAATATTTGGAAGGAAAAAAACGGAGGCGATCGCCAGCGAACTTTCTTCATTAATTCAGCCCAGCACTCCTCGGTTTGCTAATTATATGGTTTGGGAGCTGGGCCGCCAAAAAAATCAGTTACTCGGCAATTAGGGACACCAGAAAAAAATGTTTAAAAAGCTGTAGCCGGCCTGGCCGGCATCGATCCAAGCTGATGTGCGGTCATCCTGAGTTATGGCCGCACCGTCGTCTTTATTGCGACCATTCGTCAGCCTGCGTCCTGCCCTGGCAGACATATTCTCTCTGCTGCTGCTGTTGTTGTTCATTTGGGGGAAATCTAGTATTTCTTCTACCCTCTATTCTACCCAGGGTCTACTACAGCATGTCACACAATTGTAGGAGGTATTTTATGCTCTCTAAACCGATCTTTCCAACAAAAATAAAGTGTATATGATTGAGATATCTATTATGAAGCGATATTGATGATTGATAATAATAATAAGCAGACTAGGATAATGCCGTAATTATCGTTATGATAAATATGATAGTTAACATCGACACCTAATAACTATAAATCTTTATAGAAATGTGGGATTTTCCTCGTTCGGAGAACTCCTCCGAGATTTATTAGCAGATTTCAACTATTGTCTATCAATATGGCGTTATCTAAAAAACTTGAAAGACTTTTTTTTTGCAATCAGTATCTTTATAGTGTGCACTTGAACAAAGCGAGCTTCTGATCCAAGGTTATTCTACGGACCTCTTGCCTAATGACAAGACTACAAGCTACAATATTAGCATAGTGATAATAGTATATACGAGCATTATTTGAAATTAATGTATTTAGAGTTCTTTAAAAAAATAGACACTTCGGCCAGTTGAAGTTTTATTTTCTCAACGTTTCAACAAAAATCGTCGAGAAAAATATTTCTCCTGACGAAAACAAACGATTTTTGTTGAAACGTTGATAAAATAAAATTTAAACTGGCCGAAGTGTCTAGTTTTAAGAAATATGAAGGAAATATGAAAGGTGAAGTACAACTCACACAAGTCCGATTACATGTTTGGTAGCCAGTCTACTGAAATCCTGTAGGTCAAATATCTTCTGTTATTGATTGTTGCAGTGATAGTGTTTGAAGTGATATTTATTCTCCTGTTGGAAACCTTGACTAGAAATCTCGCTTTTTTAAAGTGCACAATAAAGATACTTTTATATTAATAGATTTGTTCATGGTTCTTAATACAGCTATACAAGTATAACTTTTATATTCATAGATTTGTTCTTGTTCATGGTTCTTAATGCAGCTATGTAGATATCGCTTTGCAGTTTTCGAAATTTCACACATAAGAAGGCTCACCAGGGGTTCGCCACTGATGAGACAAACTCTTTCAATCGTTTTTCATAAATATTTTAGTAATTTTGAGGAAATTCGCTTATCATACCTTTGAAAAATAGCGTTTAATTGTTCATCTTTTGAATACAGATGGGATACTTCTTTCAGTTTAATAAAATTTAATATTTCCTTGTTTCACACTCATCGACATCCCCGCTCTGGAATTGGATTAAATATTTGTCCAATTGAATTAAATAATAATTCTGTTCCCTGATATAATTTATTCATAAATGGTTTTTTCTATTGTGTGATAAACTCTCCCAAAAATTAGTTTATTATTAAATCATTTTAAAATTGGTTTTGACCACATAACTCACAATTGAATTTCCTCCGCCAATGTTGCTATATAAAAAGAGCCTTGAATCTATCAGAATTAATTTTGACTTTTTATGTTTGCTGTGTAATTATTCACATCTTGCAATTATTTCGTTCAATGTTTTATTAAATTTGTTGACAATTTTATTTAAGATATTTTAAAATGGTTATATATTCAAAAATTGCCCGCGATAAACTGGTGGGATTAGGTAAATGGTGCTTTTAATGATCAATAGAAAAAATGGCTATTTTTCTTTTTTAATTTTCATATGCAATAATGCTCTACTATATATATTTTTATGGTCATTGAGATTTCAGAACTAATTTTGTATTTGATTTACCTATTCAATCTTTCTTTTTTTTTTCTTTAATAAGGTTAGGTTTTCATCACCTTCTTGTTTCATTATCAATGAAACGGAAAATTTTATTAAATAGCAGAAGATGTCCCAGTCATTTTATAATTACTCTAATATCCGAAAATATTTAAACAAAT